CATGATATATTCTAAAAGGGACATTTGACAAATAAAAGTTAACAGCATCTTTGTAGCTCTTGAAGCTCATTTCCTGATTGATTTTCAAAAACCATGTGAACTAATGGTTTATATAAAAAGTACTATTTCATATGTAGATACCAATTAAAAAATTACAGACTCACTCGACATGCTTTTTAATAATTCTTCTGAATTTGAGTTCATTATGTGACTTAATATGTAAGGTCTTCTGTCTAATGTTTTATTCATTATACTTTCTTACTTTATTATCATTCATTCATTTGATTTCTCAGCTTCCCATTAAAATAACACTAAAATAATGGCAGTTATTTTCTTAGATTTAGCATAGAAGCAAAGGAAAAAGCTAAAATATGACTGACTACACAAAATGGGGACAGGGAAAATGACTCAGAATACAGAGGACAGCTCATAGGTCATTGATTGGTTCACGGCTCCATGGAGCCAAGTATTTTCTTGGGATAGGATATTCCCAGTTCTTTAAAGAAAACATCAGTTGCTCCCTTGTTGAAATAGTAGAGACTGGATTTACTCTCCCAATTGAAACAGCAAAGAACTTATAAAACACATGAAATAACATTTTATTAAGACCTTGAACATTAAGCAGTAAAGGACAATGGTCAATGAAAGGTAGAAAACTAAGGAAATAAGTTCCAGAGTGTTTCTAGATTTGATTTGAGAAAATGAAGCTCAAAGTCCAGAGCCAAAAGACAGACAACCAGAAATCAGAAAGCTTCAGAGAGAATGTCAGATGCTCTGAAAATCTCTCTCAAGTATGTAGCACAGTACAAATTAGGTCATGCATGTGAATATACTATAAGAGACTAAAGAGTGGAGCTAGCAGAATGAATCTGAAAGACTAGTACTTGGTTCTTACACAAATCTGGGAATTGTGACAGACTATAAAGTCCAAACACAACTCACATTTTAATACTGGAGAATAATTAGCCTTAGGCTGAGCACTGCTCTGCTCATGTTCCAGAAACCTTAAGAGTAAGACCTGAATAATAAAATATTTCTAAGATTATGTATAAATACAACTTCATGTGATATAATTTATAGTAGTGAATAACTGCAATGTCTAATGCCATATATAATGCTGACTGTATATGCAACAAAATCAATTGATGAGCTTTATAAAAACACACAGCATATACACACATACATGTATACATATACAAATATATGCACATATCTAGCCACATACAAGCACATGTACATATCATAGATGCATATTCAGTCCACCAACCAGAATTTCTGGAACAATTAAACTAGGATATAAGCTAACCACAAGGAATCTTTATTTAAAGATTCAAATGTGCAATCAGAATTGTTAACTTGATCGCTATAGAACCTTTGATGAAATAGAGTATTCTTATGGGCCAGGGGTTTACCTCAGTGATTTGGTGGCCCGCCTTGCAAGCCCAAGGACCCAAGTTCAATCCCCGGTACCAAAAAAAAGAGATTATTCTTGAGCTCAGATGGGAAAAAAAAATTAATTTTTATTTTCTACTAAAGTGCCATTATAAATTAGTATTCCTAAACCACGAAAACAGGAAACCACAGTGGCATTATTAAGAACCTGTATGGGAAGTGACATTGTAGCTGCTGTGGGGACTTCAGGAACTTTTGTCATGATTCCATCCAAACTAAGTATTTAGTAGACCCTAGAATGTATTATTTAATGCCTTGTGAAGGAAAACATATATCATTAAACCTTATATTATACATTTATTTTGAGAGATTTTTAACAGTGGGAATCCTTCCTAAGTCTAAGAAATGATTCTCATGCTTTCAAAACATTATTTTGAAAATAAGAAGCTCTTGGGGCTTGCCAGAGTGCAAAAGATGCCCATTGTGCATACACAGGTTTAAGAACTCTGTTCTGAGATGCTACTGGTTCAGAAAGATCCTCAGGAATGCAGATGGAGATCAACTTCTTTAGAGTCACTTTGAATTTAAATGAGTACAATGAGTATCTCTCAGCAATTATCTGAGAAAGGAATGCAGCAACAGTGAGATGGCATTGTACTCAAAGTATATTTACATATCAATTGTCCTTCCTCTATCAATTTCTCTAACAAAGCCATCATTCCCATGTTTATCATTATTAGGTGATTCTGCTATTGATTCTCTGCCTTTTGCCCAAGTCTTTTTGTTTGTTTGTTTGTTCTTTACTTTAGCTGCTCAAGTCTTTTTTGTTGTTCTTTACTTTAGCTGCCACAGAAGATACAATATATCACTCTTTACTTGATGGTTTACTGCATTTAGGCCAAGAACAGCATGTATTTTCTGGTAAAAATTTTTCTTTCAAGTCTAAAATATACGACTAGTAACATTTTTGAAACATAAAAGGATTCATTTAAATTGATTTTTTTAAACCCTAATTATATAGTATATTTCATAATAAGCTTTGCAAAATCTCAGCTCAGGAGTTAAAAAGAAAAAACTTCTGCTACTCATAAATTGTCACTACAGTTATCAGTGTGCTAAATTTAATTCATAGGTAAATAAAAGGAAAAACTGAAAGCCATGTAGAGGTCTATTATGAGAGTAGGCATTGCTATAACTGGTCGTTATGTTTCAGAGGGTCTTGTTACCTTTCTATTTAGGATGTTCTTCAGCTGTTTCCTCTGGTGCATGGTCAATTGGTGTCTACCTTGCTTGGAATAGACTCTACCTGCTAGTAGTAGCTGGCTTGCATGTCCTCAGCACATTTTCTCTTTCAGAAAACGTAGCCCTTGCTTAGAAGCTGCCACAGTAGTTTGAATTATCCAGTCCCCATCATTAAAGGTGGCAGGCACGCACTTGAGAATGATGTGGGAAAACTCCGGTGAGAGTGATAATTAAACTTGGAAAATGAGGGGTCACCTTCTTTCATTCAGTTCATTGAGTTTGGCACCAGAATAATTCCAAAACAGTGGGGGATATTCTCCTCTCAGCATGGCAATATCTAGGTGCACACACAGTATTTCTATGGGATCAAGTGGGAACGGCTTTTTAATTGTATTTAAAATGCTATCTTTGATATGGGGAATAAAAAATGTTAAAAATTAGTTCTAAGAATATAGAAAAAGACTAATGAGTTTAATCTAAATGGTAAAGAATTAGAAACAAGAAAATAATGCACTGTTTTGTTAGGGGAAAAAAACATATAAAAGAAGAAACCTGTTGCCAGGGAAATTGAAAAGAACATTTAAATGTGACTCTTCTGTCTACTTGACTGTGGAATTACAAAGCAAGGGGTTTCATCTCAGCTTTCTTGTCTACTTACTGTCATTTCTTGGTGACCATTACTATAACATCTTACTCCTAACCAAGAGAGGGCAGAAAGTATTGTGTAAGCTTAAAAGAAGCAACTGTTGTCAATTATTTTTCAGGAAAATACATTTTTTTTCACAGACACATCGACTTATCTGAATACTATTGAAGCACTATTTGTTAAACTATATTATATATATTTTTTGCATTAAAATACTGAAATGTTAAGAGCAACACAAGCAGGTACTCTAGAGAGCACTACTGTTAGAAGCATGTATGCTAAAAGCAAACTTCAAATTCCAGCTTTAGCATATATTAGGGATGCAACACTGGGTATGTTACATAACCTCTGTGTTCCTCACTTCCATCATCTGTGAAATGGCATAGCATAGAGTATATAAAGTTGCTGAAAGATCGAGTGAGTTTAAAACTCTGCTTGTATAACAGTGCCAGGCATGGAATAAGTGCTATAAAGGTGTTCACCGTCATTGTATTACATGTTCAGCACCTAGCACAGTACTTAATGCTGTAGACCAAATTAATACACACATATATATTTTTTTTCGAATTGACCATTTTTTTTGTTCTTTTCACTCTGAGAAAAGCTTCCCAAAGGATATAGATCCTTGAAAAAATAAATATATCAGCATCATTTTTTACAGTCATGTAATATGAAAGTAGAACTAATTTTAACATCAAATTCAGAACGTGAGAAATTCTTAATAAGCAGAAACTATAGATTTCAGATGAGTCATGATAGTTTTCTTCACATCTGAAGAATTATCTTAGGAAGATAAATTATATTTGTTCTGTGTGACTATATTTATTGCAAAGTAAGAGGGAATAAGGAAACAATTAGAGCTGTCTATAATAGAAAAATCTTAATGGGCTAGGCAATCAGGTACTATCTGCATTCTTTTTTAAAGATATGCCAGGTATATTTTTTTATAGGCAAACATCTATGGATTTCATTAGATCTAAAAGTATTTATTATTAGCAATCATGAAGTATTCTCTTTTGTTTTAGAAGGAGAGACATAGTAAAATATTTTTGGTAGCATAAACTCACACTGCTTAAAACCTCCAAACTCCAAATTCACTGAAAGAAGGTGAGAAGGGGTGAGGGGTGAATTAATTAAGACATTAACAATAACCCTCACCAGATTACAGAAGAGACAATACTCTGTATTACATTTAAGCCCAGTTTTATTGCAATATTTGTACATGGTCTCTTAAAAAAGAAAAAGGGTTTAAAAAGATGATTGATTCATTTAGTATGAGTGTTAAAACTATTTTATTTGGTAAATTATTTCCTACTTAAAATATAAACTACATAAAATATTCTGCTTCAGCTTAGGTTCATATTTGAAATGATTTATAGTCTGTAATTTCTTCCTAAGGTCATCACCTTCATAAATACCAGCCACACAGAGTGAAAACCAACTCAATAAAATGAGTATTTCATTTCTTTTCCTTCTGCTTATGTAGATACTTTCTCCATTTGCACAGAACCCATTTATAACAAAGCCTCACATTGTGAGGATTTTTATGAGTTCTTGAGCTTTCTTTTTTATCTTTCTATGCATCAGCAAAGTAACTGGCAGATTCTTTAATAAAATATATTATCCACATTAATATTTATAAGCCTATGAATTGGATGTTTAAATAAACATTCACCAACTTATGCCAATTCTCTTGTTTTAGATGTTAAATCACACTTACATTGTCTGGGAAGTCAGCCTTTAGCTCAGTGACACTTTGACACCAATATGCAGCTGTTTTTTCACTGATGAGCTCAATATTCAGAAAGGAACTCTGTGCTGGGCCATACATGGGGCCAGAGGTAGTCCCCCGGATGATTCGGGGTGAAACATTTGTCACGATGTCCTGATAAAAGAGTAAAGATATTAAATCTCCTTTAGAAAAAGAAAATTTATGTTTATTATATGCTCATTTCCATATGACAATATTTTACCAAGTTCTTTTTCACATTTTTGCAGAAGAATTTTTAACCGTCTTGAATGGCATTGGAAATTATGTTACTTCTAAAGAAAAGGAAAAGTAGAATATTTATTAATTTAGCTAAATTACTTCCTCAAATTCTAGGCTAGCATAGTAGAAAAATAAGTACATTTAAAATCATTATTATTGGTTTCAACACACATTTTTGTTTACAATTTTAAAAAGTAAATATTAATATGACAGGTAGAATGTAAAATTACCATTTCAGTTTATTTAATCTTAGTATCTCTAAAGTCTCCAATAAAAGCAAATAGTTTCACAGAAAACATTTATAATTTTTCTAAAATGTAAATCCAGAGTAAATCAGCCAAGGAATAACCATTGGTATTCCTGGCTCATCAAATTTTAACACATGTTCTGACACACTAATTGGATCAAATTACCTATAGAATTGTAACCCTATATTCACATTTAGTGAGAAGAAAGTCTTCCCAAGACTGAAATGAGGATATCAATAACTTCCTTATAAGTATAAACAGTAAACAGTAAAATTAACTGGCTTGTTAAGTGTAATTAACAATCCACAACTGCTTCTAAAGCTGTATTAACAAAGAAGAGTAACATTCTTCCATTCCTTAAAACTAAAAAGAAACAAAGAAGAAAAAATGTTTCTTTTGCCAACTTCCAATTAAAATTAATTTTGAGTAAAGGTCATTTAGTTAAGGATTTATCAGAATTAGTCTTTTAAGTACCCCTCCTCACCATCTTGTCACTTTTAGTGAGATAACATGAACCCCCATTAGTATATAGCAATTAAGGTCAATTTACATATTTTAATTAAGAACCACCCCATATAAAACAATTAGCGTAATAGGCATACTAACTGGATTTCATAACATTTGGACATTTTTCCAACTAGATAGACAGGAAACCTTAATTAGCATTAATTAGTGCTGATCTGCATATGTTTGATAAGGCATACCCTTGCCACAAAAGATTATTTATTCCTGAATCTGCCAAATGCTACAGTTGCAGAGGATAAAAGGACTTTTCTTCACATTGCATGTTAATTTCTGCTAATTTACATTCACTTTTACATTTGAATTAGTATATTATAAAATAAATGGTATAAATGTTACAATAAGCCTCCTTAAATATGTACATTTTAACTTATAGGAATTATGCCAGTTAATTTTTTACTAATTAAGCCATCTCATTTCTATTGTTTTTGTGCACAACATTAGAGCTTTACTTTGATTTGCTACTAAAAAGCCATGTTACACAGTCTTAGTGGGTAGAATGACAAATGGAATCACTCCAGGAAGCTCAAGCCTACCTAATCAAATTTTCTGTCTTGACAAATGCTTAAATGTGTGCTCTCTATCCCTACAGGTGGCTCTGAATAGCTCACCACATAGGCACTCATGTGTTGCCCTGGTCTGAGAAGACAATTCTAGGAATATTTCCCTCTAATGAGGCCATTTTTCTTCTCTCTTCTAATTTTGAAGAAACACAGGTTTAAGATTCTTATTGTCTTCTGTTTTATCTACCCACAACTTTTAAAAGTTTTTCACCTAAATAATTTCAACCTAGGGCCCTATACAGAAGTACTTAATCATATCTGGGATTTAGCTTAGGGGGGCCACTACCTGCCTTATAAGTGGAGGGTCCTGAGTTTGATTCCCGGTACAAAAAAAGGTACTTAACCAAGTAAGGGAGGAGGTAGTAAAGTCCCCCTCGGGTCACCAAGCCATATGGCCTAGTCCTGGGTAGCTTCACATGATGAAGCACCTGGTTTAAATGATCACCTTGTAATTCATGGTCTAAAAACAATAATTTCTGTCTCTTCAACAAAACTGATTCCTGTGTTAGCAGCATCCATATTCCTGCCCATTTTTCAGATTTTACCTTAGAATTCAGTCCCTTTGAGAAGTCTTTTGACCTTTCCACCTCCTTCAAGTCTTAACAGGACACTATGACTCACACTCCTATAATATATATTGCTGCACTTTCCACTGGTATCAGATTCATTGAGTCAAAACCTATCTTGTGTCCTAATACATAACCATCTGCTCACCTGATCATTAGTAGATATACCGATACGTTTCTTGAAGAGCCTAGGCTAAATTACAGACCAGTGATGACGAACCTTTTAGTGTTCAATGATACAAACACCCTGCAGTGGCATGTGTGCCATTGGCTTGACACCACTGTGCTAGACATTAGGCTAGGTCATATCCCGAGGAATATGAACCAAAAATATTTATTGGTTGACACTGTTCTGTCACTGAACAGACTTGTAGTTTGGGTTGACATTCAAATTCTAGGTATAAGAACTCTGTTTAGATGTTTTTGTACCAGTTCATTGCTCTAAAGTTGGGGTCCTTACTTTCTTCTATTTTTCAGACTTTTCTCTTGCAGCTTAATACATCTTCAGTGTCCTCTCTATGGCTAGATTCTGTACCATAATGCTGTGCTACAGAAGGCTAACTACGAAACCCCTCCCTACCCCAAACTACCTGCATGAGAGGAAGCATGCTGGAACTTCACCACAGCTTCTCCTCTAAGACCTTCATTATTGCTGGACCCCAACTGTTGGGAATACCTAATCCGTAGGATCCAAGTAGATGAGCACCATTCAGATATATTATAATGTCTAGGGTTTTCTGCCTTAATTGGATGTCAATTCCTAACTCAATTCAAGTCCATCTTGGGTATTTCTTAGTTGATGAACCTATCAGAACCTTAGCCAACATTAGGAGCCTCTGTGTCTGTGTCCTATGCTAAGATTAAATCATCACAGTATGTAAAGGAAATATATGTTAATATATGTATTTACAAAGGATAATAAGTTATGATTATCATATATTATGTTTCATATATACCAAGTAAATAAAAAACCCATGGTCCAGTACTTCTAAGCCATATGCTATTTAGAGCAATCCCCTAAATAACAATTAGGCCAGCAATACACAGTACTTAAAATGATCAATAAGTAAACAATATCTGAGGACAGTCAAGCAGATATTTCTTTCTTAAAATATTCTCCTTTAGTGATGCCGTAAAATCTAAATTGCTGCAACTAAGGATTTTTCCTTTCTTGTTAATGTTAAAGTTGCTTTCGTTTTCTCTTCTTCAAGCCTGCATCAAGCTGTAAATGACCATGGGAAGGTCTTCAATGATCTCTTTAACCGAAGAAATGAACAGAAAATATAAGGGAATCAAAGGGAAATTTTATTTACTTTACAATAGTGAATGTTCACTCCTTTGTGTTGATTTGTCAAAAGAAACATCTGTTTAAAAAGGTCAGTTTTTTCTTCCTTTAACTAAGCAGGCAAAATATCTTTTATTACTGTCTAAATCATACATAGTTACTCTGTAGAATCTGTGCATTATTAGCAAGTCAATTACTAACTTCATGAAAATTTAAGAATTCATCCCTTTCTGAATTCAACTGGATTCAGCATTTCTGAATTCTAATATGATAATATAGTAATAAATCTGTAAGGGAAAATTTTATTTTAGGTTTTCTTTTTCAAATTGAGTCATAGAGTATTTGCCACCATTTTGTAAAAAACTTCTTGTACTGACCTGAGACTTTATTAGAATTTTTAAGTGAAAGATGAATGAAAATAAAGGCACACCAATTATCCTTGGTTATATGATTAGAGTTACAGTTTCAAAAATTGGGCAACAACTTGCTAAAGCTTTTGATGAGGGAATAATAGAATTTGAGCATGATTTCCTAAGATAATATTTTGTTTGAATATTTTATAGCCAAGTCATATCAGTATTGCTTAAGGGAGTTCGTATAACAAAATAAATACTTTCAAGAACAGTTAGACTAGATTTCACTCTGTATAATAAAGAAGACAAAAGATAAATGCTATATCCCTAATCATTGTTGCATTAACAATGTTTAGATTTTTAACAATAGATGTCTACAGAGAAGGAAGTGTTAGGTAATATTTCCGCTTTTTGTGCTAGTGGAATTACTATTACAAAACCAAGTGTTTGTGACCTCTTAACACTTGAAGTGACGATAGTGATTTTTCAGCATTAGTAAAGACATTTAAGTGGTAAACAGACTGATCTTATTTGTTTAAGTTCATTTACTTGACCTCTCTTATCTGAAAAAAATTGTTTCCATGGTTACTACTGCATTGAGATAGTAACGACGGCCATAATGAATAGAAAATTTTGTGTTTGTATCTTATGCTAGGATCACATCATCGCAAAATATAAAGGAAATGTACACATACACATACACACATACACTATTATATATAGGCACAAGCGATATTTTGCTGAGACTATGAAAAAAATAGGGTTCAACAAAGTTGGATGAAAATAAAAACTACAATCTGCAGAGTGAAAGACACCTACATGTACTATAATAAATGAATTTTATAAACATACTGTTGAGTGAAAAGGATGATTACAGAAAATTAAGTGAAGTCTGACAAGCACACCAAACAATATATTGTTTAGTGAAATACACTAATGTGTTAAAACCATAAATACAAGTATGGAAGTCATCAAAAATAATTCAGGAGAGAAGCTGCCTCTTGGAATAGGTAGAAGCCATGCAATAAATCAGGGATTGAGGAATAATAAAAATATTGTAAATGTTAATAATACATAATTATAAAGAAATTTTATTCCCAACCTGCAGAAGTGCATACTAGAATGAGAAATCTATTCAATGAGCTGTGGGGTGGTAGAGAAGAAATTAAATCCATTTATTTGGAAATTTAGAACTTTAATCCAAGGCCTATTTGTTCTTTATTTAAATTTCCAAGGTTCTGTTGAGAGTTTCCGTTTTTGTTGAAAAAAAATTTTTAATCTATTAACTCTTATAAATCAGAATTTCAAAAATGTAAGTCACTACAGGCAAAATTGTCTTTAAAAATATCACTTCTTAT